GGGGGGGGGGGGGGGGGGCGGGGGTTGTTTTTTTTCCCCCCAGAGCTTAGATAAGCAGTGGTTTCCCTGTGTCTGGCAGTCTAGGTTGACTAGACAAAGTCACTAGCAAACTTTGACCTTGGGCTCTAGCAAGCCAGTGCCAAGTGCAGTGCAGTGCTCCATGGGAATCTCTTTCTAATGTTCTGACTCTCCACCCTTTCTGTAGAAAACAGTCCGGATGTATCCCTTCCAGATCCACAGCATTGCCCTTTCCACCTTTGCCTCCCTCATTGGACCCTTTGGAGGATTCTTTGCCAGTGGGTTTAAAAGAGCCTTCAAGATAAAGGTACAACACGGGCACTCGTTGCAGTGCATATGAGACTGTTTTTGTCTTCTCAGCAGAACCTCCAGCTGAGAATACAGCCTCATGCAGAATAGAGGCAGTACATGCATACATGCATGTGTATGTATATGCAGTAAATACAAGTAACTAAGGTTTTTAACTGCTTTCTGCTTGCCAGGACTTTGCCAACACAATCCCAGGGCATGGTGGCATCATGGATCGCTTTGACTGTCAGTACCTGATGGCTACCTTTGTCAATGTGTATATTGCAAGTTTTATCAGGTATGGCTATGTACTACTTGATAGCAACACTGAAAGTTTCCAGCTGATGTCTGACCCTTGCATACTGCAGACTCTACTATCTAATGCTACCAGTCATTGTCACAAGGAGCTTGAAATCAAAATATAAAGGTTGAAGATTGTGAGGGGGAAAGTCACAGGGTCACGGAACAAACTAGAGTCACAGCTGGGTCTAAAACCCTTGTTTGCTGCAACTTCCCACGTGATTCAGTGTTAGGCTGTTTACCCTTATTGCGTTTCTCTTTTTGTGAAATGGGGAAAGCTGCGTAGGCTCCCTTGTTAGGTGTTTTGGGAGATGTGAGGGGAAGTGCCATCATAGGAGCATGGGGTGGGGATTCCTAGGTGTAAACAGTTGAACCTGTGCTTTTAGCTGAATCTGAGCCATACCTATTGAATTGTCTCGGCCCAGATCCAGTGACAAACAGCTCTTTCGTTGTGTGTTCCAGGGGTCCTAATCCCAGCAGACTGATCCAGCAGTTCTTAACCCTCCGGCCAGACCAGCAGCTCCACATCTTCAACACGTTAAAGGCACATCTGGTTGACAAAGGGATGCTGGCCAGTCCGGAGGACGTGTAGACATCCTGGCATTTGGAACAGGACTGAGAAGAGGGCAAGCAGTCACTTCCCCAAGGAAATCCCAGTTTGCCCGATTCAAGACAGTAATCACAATGCCTCATGTCACTGTATTTTTTTCTTCCCTTGTAAATGTTTGCATTTGTGGGTTTCTGTTTTTTTTTCTAATGCATATTTATATATATGATTTTGGTTCAAGTCAACCAGTCATCATGTCTAGCTGGAAAGGCATCGGGGTTGGGAGGGCTGTCCAGCAAAAAGCATTTGACAAGGCACAAAGGTTCTTGTGGTTCTGTGCAGCTGTTGTTCTGGATGTGTGTGGGCTGAGCTTGACTCTGCTCTTTTGCACTCCCTCAGGGAGCCAGTTTATGCTGGGAACATGGGTAGGAGTTTTCTGCACTAATGGAAGCTCCAGTAAAAGCAGAACAGCAGGCACTGTTGCATCTCTCTCTCTAACCCTGCTAGGCTGTATCTATACTAGGACAATTGGGAGCCACACAACTCTGCCAGTGGTATCAATATAGTACAAAGAGGGTGCTGTTCTTTGATTTTCCCCCCCAGTCCATCTCTAACCCTCTTTGGCTATGTATATGTTCAGAAAGCAGGGGACCTTTAACTCCCCACTGGTGGTAGTTGTTACTTGGAGTCTTAATTTCTTCAGTATAGCCTGTCCTGCACAAAACCTCCATGGTGGTAGGGGAGCAGAAAGTTTGACCAATCTGAAGGGAACTCCTGTGCTTTATCCAGCTTCAGAATAACTACGCAAGCCAACACACACATCCACTTCAGCTTGCTCTCTTTGCAGGGTCTCCTGCATTCTCCCACTCCAGCAAGTATATGGCCAAGACTGCTGATTCCAAGTGTAACCATATAAAGAGAAAGACATGGTACATCTTTATGTGAGGGGCAAGTACCAAGTGTTGCTGTGGGAGGATTAAATTGCAACTTAAATCAGGAGTACTTTTGTTTTTAAAATACATTAAAGTTGTTTTGTTATTGAAGAAATCCTACTGAACAAACTTTGAAAGGTTCATGGATTCATTTCTTTTTTTCATGCCAAGCATATTTTTAACGCTGGGGCACAAAACCTTCCCTTGATTAAGCAACTCCATGTCTTGAGACTTGGCATGTGGGGGAGCAGTTTCCAACCCACATGGCTTTTTCCAAGTGTGGAACTTGGGTGAAAGAGCCACCCACCCAGCTGTGTTATTTCACAGGTTTGGGGTATTTTTTAGATTGTGCTCTATTTCGCTTTCAGGGGTCATGTCTGTCAAATGCTACTTGAGTTCTAGATGTCGTGCTACTGAGGTTCACGGTCTGTGTTGCATTGCAGTTTGGGTTTGGTCAGCTTGCCTGCAGGCTTTTCTCTAGTTTTTGTTCCAGTAATTTTGTTCTAGTATTTGTCTTCCTTACATTTCACTTAGCATTTGGGCACGGGTGGTTGTTTCCCAAGTATTTGCCTTTTTGTTTCTTCCAATGAGCCATCAATTAAAAAAAGGAAAGGGGAGGAAGCCCTAAGACCCCAGACATTTCCACACTTGATACTGTTTATGTTCGCTATTGATCTCAAGCGTTCACACATTTTAAGCATCTTCATGCATCTTATTTTACTGTGATCTTTCTCCATACTTCGCAGCTGAGGCAGGCTATGATGTGTATCTCTAGCTATTTGAATCTGGGGAACAGTTGGCAGGGAATGAAACAGAGATGCTGTCACTGGTGTCTTCAGACAAACTCTTTGCTGTCTCTCACCTTCCACACAAATGTGTATTTCATCTTGCTAATCTCCCAGCTGAAACAAAAACAGCTGGAATAATGTTGTATCCTGTCATTCTGTTCTGATGCTAACATTATTTACACATGCCGCTAGTGTGTATTTTTATCTGTAGCAAACACTGCCACTTCCCCACATAGAGAAACTACAGAGGGCAGAGATGTATCTAGCATTGTATACTCAAGGAACTGAGGAAAAAAATGGTGTTTTTCCCAGGGTGGGAAGAAAGCAAGGCAGAGCCGAAGTGAGATGCAATTGGAGTCTGGTTCTGTGTACCCACAGCTTCCATCAAGGGTGCTGAGCCTCATCTATCAAGGGTGCTGAGAGGGTTTAGCTGTGCTTCTGTGGTCTAAAGTCAATACAGTATATAGGTATGTGCTTCAAGTGCTCTTCTGAATGGGGGCTTAGCCCAAGTCTGTCCACTGAACTTTGATAACCTTTCCATTCAGCCCCTGCCTTGATTTCAGGAAATAGCAGGAGGTTGTTTAATATTTAAGTAAAGCAATCTTGCCGCTCTTCTTTTTGGTGGTGGTAGGGGATATTCACTTGCTGGAAGCACCTTGCTAGATTGCAGTTTTCATTACTTGTAAACAAGTGAAAATATGAAAAGTGGCTGAGCTGGCACAGCTTCCTGGAGACTTTAAAACAGAGCTCATGCCACGGTAAAACAAGCTGCTGCTGCCCTGCATCCTACCTACCCTGTACCAATATCTGCCTACCACCATGCACACTGAGCTTTTGGGAGCAGATGAGCTGAAGCACTTATCAAATATGTTAAACCTGATTACAGTGTATTGATTTGTAGAAAGAACCACTTCACTTGCTTTTCATCTGAGATTTGAATTGCTGTCCCCTTCATTCATTCTCTCCCCCCACCCCCTCATCCCCACAATCCCGAGTTATAATGAGCAGAACTGAAAAAAAAATCTGGGATGTATGGTTTTAAACAGTAGGATTTGTTTGGGCGATTTCTGTTAAATGTTGCCATTCTGGCTCTGGCCACTGGAGGGCATAACAGCTTCTTGGGTGCCTGCCTGGTGATCTGACAGTGCAGAGTGGTTTGATTAAAAATGTGCATGGTTTTCTGAAGTTCTCAGTGCAGGTTTTCAAAGCTCAGTCTTCTGCTGTTCCACAGCTTCAAAGTGAATGAAGCAGGTTAATCTGAGACCCAAGGGGAGTTGTGTAAGGTGCTGATAAGGTCTTCGTGTTCTGACTTTGAGTGGTTGTCCTGACACGGACAAAATGCAACAGGGCTGACAAGCAGTGGACAGAAACTTAAAATCTGAGGGGCCGTGAGGAAATTGGATTGTATGTGTGCTCTATGGCCAGTCTTCCTGAGCAGGACTGGGAGGGTAGAGGTCTCTGTCTGCATCGCTCCCGTGAGCCATGGAGTCGTGTTGGCTGCAGAGTTCTGGGATGGAGCTACAGGGAAGGCGCGCTCTCTCAATGTTTCCCACCAAAGAAGATCTGCTTCTGCCCACTGCCTGAAATGCGCCATAGTGAATATGCTTGATATTCTTGACAAGTCCTAAGCAATGTTTTGCTCTTTCAATGTCAAGCTGGTATCTTGCCCAACAGGGAAGACCCCAATTGAGAGGCCACTTTTGGAGGACTTGGAGCTAAGTGAAATGGCTAAGATTAGATAGGAGGTAACAGTTACTATAGGCACTGTTGTTTAAAAACCTGAGACTGTGATCAGTGTCCCTTTTTAGTACATAACCAAAAACTTAGATACATGCCAACTAAAGTGTATGGATTTTTAACACTTGCATGCACAGAAGAAGTCTAAGCACTTCAGATTCCAGCAGCTTTAATGTCTCTGCCTTATACAATATTGTGCAGGCAACCAGTTCCTTCCTGATTAATTTTTTTTCAACCCTGCAAGGAAAGTTTGTTTGTAATGGAAGTTTCCCCAGACTTCAGGTAGAGAATGAGTTTCTGGAAGGGTTTTTTATGGAGCTGGTGCTAGCGATAGGCAATAGCGGCAATGGAGCAACGTTGGCAAGAGTTCACGTCGGAGTTTTGCTTCTCTCCACCCACAAAAGTCGAGACCTCTTGATTGTTCCTGTGCTCTGCTCGCTGCTGTGAGGCTCCTGTTCAGTTAGAGGGAAGTTCCCTGTGCTTGCTGTATAGCAAGAGAGGAACCAGCTATGAATGCTGGAGATCAGATGACTGAGAGTTTTATTCAGCAGGTCCCTGGGTTGCTTGGGCTTGGTAGAAAATGCCTTTTTTTATTCTTTTGGAGGACTCTGAGCTGACAAGGGGTGGAGTTTCCTGGCTGTCTCTGTTGTGGGTGGCTTTTGAAGCCACCTGCTAGCAAGGCCAAATGAAAACATCAGAATGGCTCAAAGGAGTCTCTAGACTGTTTGAATAATCAAGGGGAAAAGAGGCAATGGATCCTGTGACTAGGTTTTGTGTTGGCACAGTGATTCACCCTGCTGTACTTCTCCCAGCTGGCTTGAATATGTCTGTGAGGAGAGAGGTGTCTCAATAGACTGCCTTCCTAAAGTAGCCTCCTTGGCCCTTAGTAGAGCAAGAAGCAGTCCTCGAGGTAGGATGTTGTGAGCTTGGACATCAGCTTGGAAATGAACAACAAGGCACTTGCTGGCATGTACTGGTTTGCTGGAAGGACTGGGTAAGGAAGGGTCAGCTCATCCGAGTGCATGTTCATGAGCTCAGCAGCCTGGTTGCACATCCTCTAAGAGCTTCCTTAATTCATGAGTGTAAGCTTAGTGAAAACTGAAGTGGGCAATTACTGATCAAAGCAAAGGGAATTTCCTTTGTATCCAGTATCTTGGGGAATGTACCAGACACTCTAGTACCCAGGTCTTAACAGCCCTTTGTTTCCGAAATCGGGTTAGCCCCTAATAAAAACCACTAGCACAGGGCATCTGTTATGGGGGTGCTTGGCCAGGAGTCCTTACAAATCAGCAAGTTGTCTAGCTGTCCATTCGGATTTCCCTGTTGCACTTCTGCAAAGTGGGTTAAATCCTGTTACCCAGGATCTCAGACATGAGATGTCTGCTCACATCTTGGTTTTAGCCCAGAGTCCAGATTGTGTGGGTATTTGAAGATCCTGTTAAGCAAGGGAAGGAAGAGCTGACTTAGATTTTGAAGGACTCTGAACGGACGAGTCTGCGTGCTGACTTGGGCTTTGTTAGCAGGGGACCAGGTTGGGTGGTCTGCTGCACTGGAATTCACTGGTGGTGGTTTCTTTTCTTCTCCGTCTGTTTTGGGGGTCAGTGAGTTTGGGCACTGCAGTCGGTCAGTTGGAATAAAGGCTTGACAGCTGAGATGCTTCAGACTGATGTCACTTTCCAAAGACTCCCACCAAGTCCAAAAGTAGACAGACAGCCTGCCCATAGTGCTTTGTGATGGAGGATTCTCCAGATACGTATTTAATGGGATTTTTTTTTAATTAAAAGAATGAATCAATTGGAAACCTAACAGCACAGCCTCAGTCAATGGCAGTGTTGTTTAAACTGCCTGAAATGCTGATGGGGTCCAAACACCTGCAGACAGGTGGACTGTGGTCCTGAGATGCCACATGCTGGCTCCCAGGCTCTCCAAAAGCCTCAACCTGGCCTGGTACTTCCTTCTGGAAACTGGCTGCTGGGAGCTCAGTGGCAGCCTAAGCTGGGTTGTAAACAAGGCACTATTTGAACAGCTGAAAGGCAAGGGCTGCGGTGCCCAGCACCAGGGCATACTGAGGCCAAGATTTTGCTTGATGCGCTCACGCTGAGTTATATGTAGTAGCGAGTGTTCCCACAGATTTCACTGTCTGCCTTTGGTACAAGTTTATTAAAAGGTCTCTAGCTCCTACAGTTGACTTCCATTGGATTGATTTAAAGGGGAATTTTTGCCATTAATATCAGTGGGAATAGAAGGAAGGGAGGAGGAATCCTAGAGCCATGCCCCCGCTCAGTACGTTCTTTATTCCTGTCTCTGGAAACAGATGATTTCTTGGAGATTTAGCTGAGTCTCCTTGTCTGACGTGTGCATTGAGCTCCAGGAGTGCCAGTGCTAGCAGGTTCAATGCATGCAAGGAGGGAGACTTCACCCATCTTGCCACGAGAATCCCTTCTCTTCCCAATAGTTCTGTACAATTGGAGAATAGATGTCACCATGCCAAAACCTCCAGAGCTGTTGGTTTGGGGGTGTTCGCCCTTTCTTAAAAAACGGGGGGTCAGCATGTGTCTGTCAGTGATATCTTGTGTACCTCCTGCCATCTGTAGCCAACCCCAGAGTTTCACTTCGTACTACTGTGATCTTCCTGAGAGTTGCCATTCTCTGGATCTGATGTGTTCTCAGCCATTATCTGCTTATTTCTCTGTGCATTGTTTTTTGATCCATGTTTTAGCAATACACGTAGCCTTGCCTTTCTTTGACTGAATGTCAGAATGTGATATATTGTATATTTTAAAGTATTTACCCTATTTATATACTGTATGTTACTGTTAAAATAAATATAAATTCCAGTATCTGTGGCTAAGTTCATGCTGGGGGGGAGAATGGAGATCACTGTTTAATGTCGCCTAAGATAAATGAGGCACTGGCATTGTCTAGAGCTAAGATAAAAACAAGACTTATGAATAGAAGGACCTGATTTATCTGTCATTTGTTGGTCTTGTTTCGTGCAGCCCTCTCCTGATTTCTGTCCATGCTAAGTGAACAGAGTCTGCTCCTAGGCTGCAGCCCTTAACTCGCTTTACATTTGCGCTCACAAATGGAAGTTTCCTGTTCGTGCTCTCTGTGACACTTGATTTTTTTTCCCCACTGAGACCAGATGGATCTGTCTGCCTGTCACAGTTCTGTACAACCGTCCATCACACAATCTCTATGCACCCCCAGGTATTAGCAATCCCATAGCACCTAAAATTGTAAGTCTCATGGAGATGTGTTCTGTTAACTCTGAAATGATTAGTTTTCACTGTAATACTTAGTTTTCACCTTTCCTCCCCTTCCACAAGGAAAGGTTTTTGTTATTTTCTTTTTTTTCCCCCCAAGGTCTCGAAATAAAACCTGAAATGTAGCCCAAAGCAGCGTGGGAGCTGCCCGTCATAATACAAGACGTTCTTCCTCCTTTAAAATAGTTGAATTGTGCAACATTAGGTTCACCAGTTCTCAGAAATTATGCCGCTTCATTACTTAGAAATGTTTGGCAGCCCATCTAAGGCTCATGAAGGAGTTTGCTGCAAAGTGCATATGGAAAAATACTGTCTCCCTGATGGGACAGGTATACTGGCTTACTAGAAACCACCAAACTAATAAACCACAACACTGAAGTCTATACATGGACTTGATAGTGTGTGGAACTGTGCTGTCCCAGCTGACTGTGGTCCTAATAGATGAGCATCCGGGCACCTTGCAGTCTAACGCATCCTGTCTTTGCAGTGCCCAAGGGAGCCAGAGAAGTGCTGTTATCTCACACAGGAAACATGGCAGAACAATGAACTAAACCCGGGTTACCAGCCCATTAACAACAGGTGGCACGTCCCTCCATCTGCTTTCACCTGGGTCATGATGTTTGAGGAACTTTTTCCCCCCTTCACTTTTAACACTTCAGTAAATTGTGTGGCTCTTCTCTGCTTTCAGGTTCACTTCCCATTCCCCCCACCATTACCTGGGGCCTGTGACCAGGGCTTGCATTTCCTTCAAAGGGTGACTGAATTTGTTTGTCTGGATAACTCATATGCTGCACTTGACATCATCAGGAAGCGGGTAAATAATGGCACCCCTCTGAGTTGGTGGAGGCAGATACATATAGAGGACTAGCATGATCCTCAGCTCCTTGGAGTTTACTGTAGCTGCTGAGTTAGCTAGTTGGGACTCCTGCGTAATGGCCACGTCTACACATTCATTAATACACAGTAGTTACGGTGCATTTAGCATAGTACTTGCTTAATGAAGTACTAACCTAAATGTGCAGTAACTACTGTTACTGTGCAGTAGCGCATGTGCACAATTTCTTAGTGATGCTTACTGCACAGTAGCATATTAGCATGGTTTTTGCCCAGCATGCTCCTGCACAGTGGTATTAGGCTAGTGTGCATTAAGTGTCTTGTGTAGACATGCCCAACATGTCTGAAAGCATCTCTTATGTGTATGTTTGTGTGTTGGGTGGTTCTTGGCTCAGCCATCTTTTCAAGTTGATTAAGTATTAACCTAGTGGCCCAGTACCACTGGAGGATGCAGACCTTTGTGCACAAGTCAATCGCATCCAATCTTACGGTTAAGCTTTGAGGCATCAGGTTTAGTGGAATAAGGATGTCAGCAACGTCCTGCACATGAGGACAGGAACTCTTCTCTGAAATGCAAGTCATTGCCTCTTGTGTTGAGCAGTCCCTTCAACGGCCCTCCTTAATGGTTGGTTCCCTGACTAGGTGGCTTCTTGCATTTCCAGACTGCTTCTTCCCCAGCAGAGGACACCCATGGCTTTACACAGCAGCTAATGAAATATGGAAAATCAGCTCCTTCATTGCTAAAACAAGCTTATGTAATTTTGCAGTAGGGATGCAACTGTCTATCTGTCTCTAGGATAGTTTAAAGACTTCTAAAAGAGGGAAGTCATTTCCCATGAAACACTTTTTTTCCAAAAGGGTTTCTGGGAAAAGTTCTTACTCATTTCATCCATTTTAAATCCATAAGGGTACGTAACATCAAACAGGAAGTAACATAAAAGTTTTCTAGGGAAACCAAAGTCCTATGATTGCATATTTTCAGATCCCCCGTGTAGCAGTGCTTTGTCTAGCTGCACTGAAATATACACATGGAATAGGCCCAGACTGAACCACTGTTGTCTCTGAAGTTAATGGGAAGTGAATACATAGCTCAGTTGCCTTGTATGCTGTGACGTCTTGCATCTTGTTCCTGCAACCTAGTGGCGCTGGGAACTGAAATGCTGAGTTTTTCACTGTGTGAAATGAGTTTTTCACAAAGCAAAGACACTTTGGAAAAGAAAAGGCCATAAAAGTGCTGCCAGAAATGAAACTGAGACACTGTTTCTTTCCAGTGATGTTAATAAAATAGTATAAGTAATAGATTGTAATATTTTTACCAAGTATGCAATATTATGTTAGCACACTGGTCTATAACATCTTAAATGTGTATCAACCCGTGTGGTTGCAAGCAAATACTCCAGCTGCAGAGAGAGATGCAGTTGCCTCTGAGGTGGGGCATGGGAATGGATAAACCCTGCAAAAGGAAGTCTGCCTCGGTTCATGAAAGGAAGTTATGTTCTGTTGAAACAGATGGGTGCATGGAGGTACATTTTCAGCAGCCTGAAAGCAACGCTGTGTTTTGGTCTCAACTTCAGGAGAAAGGAAGTTCAGGAGCAGCTACTGAATCGAAGATACCATGATTGGTGCTCCATCATGATCACTCAGATTTCCCCACAATCTCGTGTTGTCACGTTACCAGCAGTTTGGGCAGTGGAATAGCTGAGACTGGCGAATGTTTGACTTGACTCGAGCTGCTGCATTCTGGGGCTGATGTGGTTTATGCACAGAGAATTTCTTCCCCTATGCATCAGTAAGTTGATTTTTAACGTAGACTTTATTAGGTATCTAAAGCACACTTGAAGGGCAAATGAACCCATGACAGAAAACCCAAAGCTGAGCTCATTCAATGCTCTGGTGACCTAGAGAAATACCCTGTAGGGCACTAGCTAGCAGAGAGGATTACTGAAGAGTAACAGGCTGTGGTGTTTTCACTGCTGTGCTCCTAATTTCATCCATTTGCTTTGCTTTGCTTAGCCGTGACCCCAGGCCCGGGTTAGTGGAGGCTGATTTGGAGGCCCATACGGTGTGAAATGGTGCCTTCATTTGGAGACCAACATCTCACCAACCCCACTGTAGTGCGATGCTTCTGCTGATTTTCCTCAGTGAAGAACTCATGGATTTGATGCTGAGGATCCTGCTGTCCCAATGGTTGCTGTGTCCCCAGCTGCTCTTTGCAGCTCGTGTGCATTTCATTTCACAGCCTGATCATCTCCCATTCTGAACCTGACAGTACAGGCCCTCAGGGCAACGTTTCCTCGTTGCTTTAGGGCTGGGAAGATGTGCAGCTCTGAGACAGACCCTTACTGTGCCCCTGCTAGATAGGGTCACTAATTAGGCTGTCAGTGAAATAACACTTCAGACCCTGGTAGTTTCTGGGCTGTGAATCCACCAGTCCTACTAATGTGCCACCCTTCCAGCTTGCTTAAAGCTGGTTTGCCAGGCCCCTGCACTCGGCAAATAGGTGGCAACAGGAAACTACTCCAAGTCCTCTTTCACTGCATTATATTCATGACCTTGGCGGCTGCTTCTGTTTGAACAACTCCCCCTGTCTACCCCTGTCACTGGCCTTTTGCAGCACGTGCTAATTTTTTTAAAAGAACAGGTACTTCTTTCCACACTACCCTGTATTTCACAACCCACACCTTAATTAAGCACGGGTTGGCCGTTAAATTTACTTTTCCTTGGTGCACAAGAGCAGAAACCCCCTGCTTGGGGAGTGCTACAGGTGCTTTGCTAATGCAAACAGGAAAGTTGTCAGCTCTCCTTGCAAATATTAAGGCTTTGCTTTGTACTGAAAGAGCTGTGACGCTGCTAGTGGGGAGAGGCACCCCTGCTCTCTGCAGGAGAGAGTCAGAACTGCACAGCCATGCATCGGAGACCCTGCGCTGCTCGGGGCTATAAGGCTTACAGAGTTTTCCTGGCTCAGAGCTCTGGGCACTAGAGATACTAAGGTCTGCCCCAGCTGCTTAATATAAGGACTTAGTGGTGGTAGGGAGGGGCCTGCACTAAAACAGTTGCATCCATGCCAACTCTGGGAGTTGAAATGCTGCCCTGGTATCAAGGGTATAGGTCATAGCTGTGTTAGTCTAAGAACTTGGGCAGACAAGATTCTTTGGGTAAACCAACTCAAACAGTTGGAAAAAAATTTCTTTGCAAGCTTTTGGGTACATACACCCTTTGGCAGGCTTGGAAACCCCCATGAATCGCACACCCCTAGTTATGACATATCACCCCTCCCTGGAACCTATACAGAAAACCCTCAAACCATTGCAACCCATACTGGAAGAAGACCCAATTCTTAAAGAGATTGTCCCAGAACCCTCCATCCTAGCCTTTAAGCAAGCACCAAACCTCACCAACCTCATCACCAGAAGCACTTTTCCTATGGCCCAGAACATACCGAATGGACCCAGGCCATCCATGACAAATGAATAACCTGCCAACATATCTCCACCACCCCCACAATAACTACACACTGCAACAAAACCATCACCTCCAGAAATGTAATATAGCTCATCCAAACCGCCAAATGCCCTGATGGAAAATCTGTAGGAGAAACCAAAAAAAACAACTGTATGCCAGAATGAATGCACACCGAAAATCTATCAAAGACAAGAATACCCAATTACTGGTGGGGGCACACTTCTCATAAGAAAACCACTTTCTCTCCAATCTCTCAGTTCTAATCCTCAAAGGGAATTTACAAAAAAACATTTCACAGACGAGCCTATGAGCTTCACTTCATCAACCTCCTGGATACAAAAAAATCATGAACTAAATATAGACATTGGATTTATGACACATTATTACCTGCCTAATATCTGACACCCCAGGAAACCTCTTTCTTATTTATCAGCTATATTCTTATCACCAGGTCTACGTTCCCCTTTCCCTCCTCCCCATTGGCAACGCATAGGGGGTGCACGGGGTGCACGTGCACCCCCTGAGCATGGCAGCACACCCTTGCGAAAAGGCACTGCTGGCAGTGCCTGCGGGCAGTTGCTATTCACCACCCCCACTAGCCACCGACACCGCTGGCGGCATCTGCAGCTGGTCTGCAGTTGCCGCTGGCCACTGCCGACGCTGCCAGTGGCACCTGCGAGCGGTCACCAACCATGGGTTGGTGCTCGCCACCCCACCTTCCGTCGCCGACAGCGCCGCGGCCGCCTGCAGGAGCTCCCTGCTGCCGCCACCAGCGCTGCTGCAGTCTGTGGGAGCTCGCCGTGCCCCCCCCAGCCTCCAGAGGCACACAGCATTCATGCTTCCCCCCCACCCCAAACCTGTATCTCACCCATTGACTGCCTCTCTTGTATGCATACTGGCCTCTGGCTTCTTTTCTATTCCATCCAGGAAGCGCACTGACCAACTGCAGATGCTGCCTCAGCTTGACGAAGTGTGTATGTACCTGAAAGCTTGCAAAGAATAATTTTTTCCAACTATTTTAGTTGGCCTAATAAAAGATATTAGATTTACCCAAAGAACCTTGTCTGCCCAGGTATCAAGGACGACTTGTACCAATGCATCCTGTTCTGGTGCAAGGTGCTTCCAATTGGTGCAACACAGTGCAAAACCCCTAAGCCTTGGGCCTTGTGTGCATACATGGCTTTACACTGGTGCAGCAAAACAGTACACCCCCACAAGTGTGGACCCAGCTATACCAGCCTAATGGTGCTGTTACTGCCATGGGAAGGGGAATCACTGTACACATACTGGTTGAACTACATTCAACATAGGGCTTGCATCTATCTGGCCATACCTTGCCCCCACTGGCAGAGGTGGAAGAGCGAGGACAGACCAGCCCTGAGTCAGGGTGTGTTAGGGCCTTTAATCTTGTGCACAGTGGATATAAACCCCTCTTATTGGATCTGGGAGCCTCCATACCTGTTCTGTACTCTTTAAACTTGCACCACATAATACTGAGCAAGCCTTTTTTGGGGGGGAAAAAAGTTCAGTTTTCCAGCCTGTGCCACTGCACTTGCTCCCCATGTATTTGCCCAGCCAAGCAGACCGGCACATGAGCTTTTCTTTGGGTTGATCTGTCTCAAAAGGGCTGAGTTGCAGCCGTTGCTCTTCACGCTCTGCACTTCTCGAAACCATGCTGAGCAGTACCCTCCAACCACGAAGCAAATGCTCTGAAAGCTTTTGTAGCACATCAAATGCACAGAAAAGACACCCACTTCCTCAAACGCTAAGAATGCACATGCAGAAGCAACAAAACCAGAAGCCTGTGTTATCTATCAGTGCTTTTCAGTGCTGCCCAAGCAAAGGGCTGAAACAGCTTCTCTGAAGAGGAGTTACTGAAGTGGGACTGGCCGAAGGTAAAAGAAGTGGCTTATGTTGCCTCTAAAAGGCAAGTGACAGCTTTGCAAGAAAATATCAAGATAGAGAAAAGGAAAAATTTAGAAAAGTCCTTACATGGGGTTTCCTCAGAGGAAGGAGGAAGAAGTGCATTGGCAAATCAACCTCAATCAAGACTTCATTTTTTTCAACCTCACGCAGGAAGGAACGAAGAGAGGGCACAGGGCTGGAGGTGGAGAATAAGTGTTGCCATTCAGACCTTAACGTAAACCTGTTTCCCCGTCAGAAAAGCAGAGCATCCTGGTTCAAAATGTCCCTCAAGCTGCCACGCAACTGGGATTTCAGCCTGAAAATGGACACAGCAAAAATAGGTACCGTTCTTGTTTCTTTCTGCCTCTAAACCCTGGCTTGAATGAGAACCTGATCTGGCAACTGAGGAAGTGACTTCTGTCAGAAGCCAGAGGGGCTAGGTCCTTTGCTGATGTAAATCAGCCTCACTCTGTTGAGGTTTATTTACACTGATTTACACCCAGCTGGATGGCTTTTGAGTACAGCCTCTCAGTAACCCCAGATCTGAAAGAGATCATTGTGTGCTCCCCAAAATTGGCTTGGCTGGTTTCAAAGATGTTGGCAACCCAACATTTGACTATGTTTATTTGAAACCTGGCCCCTCTGGGTTGCTGAATAAATGACAAGTTCACTAGTCTGATTACAGGGGCAGGACGCCTGCTCTGCCACTAACTCATTGTGTGACCTTGGTCAACTCCCCTAGGCCAGAATTTTCAGAAGGGCTCGTCAGCTTTGGACTCCGAGCGCTTGAAAAGCTGCCACTGATCCATTTTAAAAGCTCAGATTGTCTCTCCCCTTCTGTGCCTCTGTTCCCCATCTTTGAAGTGGAGTTCCTGATACTTATATAACATACTTGAGAATCCTGGGATGGAAATGTACTGCACTATTGCTACCTTGTGTGTTACTGAGCCTGACTGACCTCTAAGGGTGATGTGGGTAGAAGGCTCTGGGCAGGCCCGGAGACATATATGAGCCATAAAATTTAAGTTGAGGCCTAGCATGTGGTTTGGAGCCCTCCAGAGTGAGTGAGTCTTTTGAACTGGGTGTACAGCTAGGCTGAAAGCGACACACAAAGCTCTGATTCTGGTGTGGACTTGTGTGTTTGGACACCACAGGGATGGGCACAGCCGCCATGTCCAGACTGAAAAACTGGTCAGGGTACACGTCATCCCTGCCCACTGTTGGGTGGCAGTCTGGAGCTCAGAGCTTTACTTCTGGCTTTTTTCTGTATGGCATCCTGGTGTTCTCCCTGTTTGCAGTGTGATGCTAGGTTTGATTGATGCACCTGATGCCATGCTAGTTAAGTATTCTTGGTACAGAAATTTAGTATTCTCTGTTCGAGTGCGTGTGTGCCTACCTGACTACAGCGGTGCACGCACAAATGCCTGCAAGTCTACGGTGAATGAAAGGGCTCAAATCATGGACTTACTGAAGGGCTCCTTTTGTCATCAATAGAAACTTCGCCCCCATCATGAGTTTTAAGACAGTCAGAGGCCCCGGCTAACAGGAAAATGCTGACATTAGGACTCCCACAAATGCCTTCAGAGTCCTGCACTGGGTGGATAACGCAGCTGCTGAAACCCTCCACAGCTGGAGTGCTTGGTGTTTTTTTTCCAAGGAAAGTTTTGTTTCAAAAAATGATCTCTTTACCATCTTAATCTAAAAACTCCCAGACTGTTGCACAGTCCAGTGGGGTCCCAGTCCCTGACTGGCACTCCTTTGCTCCACTGTAACACAAATAATAATGGCAATAAACAATAAATACAATAAACCAATCTATACAATAAACCAACCTTATTAAAACTGCCTGTTATCACAGACCGCCCCAAACCTCTTGCTGAGTAAGCCCAGCTCTTCTCCACCCTTCCTCTAGGCTGCCCCCAGTGAGGAACCTAATTCTGACGGGCCCATTGAAAAAATTATGGGCAAGCTTCTTGCGCTAGCATTGAACTTGGTAGGTGGGAATTGGCACACATTGCCTGCGCTAAGAGTTGCCCAGAACTACCAAGGATGTAGCTATGTCTGTGTGGTTGCTGGCTTCTCATAGCGCTGCCGCCCAACATAAATGCCACCAAGCTCTGTTTGGGGCTTGCCTCTTGGCCAAGGACTGAAGGGGGCACGTGTCTGTCTGGCCCCTCCTCTGCCTCATGCACTGCCCATTGACAGGGTCTCAGAAGAGTCTTTAAGGCAAAGTTGACTCAGGCTATTACTAAAGTATTGCCCCAGCCCCTACTGCCTGCATCCAAACCCCACTCATGTAAATCTCATGATGCTTTCACAGCCAGCATGGCTGAGTTGATGTACCATATTTCACAGTGTATAAGTTTATGCTGTGTCGACCCCATAAGTCAACCCCATATTTCTGATCAAAGAAGTTAGGATTTTTGTAGATCTGGTGTATAAGTCTACCCACATTTTATAATGATCCATTTGTCAAAAAATTCTGTGTACGGTAAGTATTCTCTTGTAGCGGGAAGCATTTAGAATGAACAACTGTCCCCATGATCGTTTCTGACGCTAGTCAAGCAACGGTTTACAACAGTTTTGATGACTGTTTCAAAGATGAATTAAACTTTGAAACACAATATTTTTTTTATTTCAAAGTATTGATCTGGTGTATAAGTTGAGGTGGAAATGTAAGGGTAAATATTTTGGCTTCAAACTTCAACTTATACACTGTGAAATATGATAAGTGATATGGCTGATGTAAGTGATACAACTGAACTGATATAAGTGAGCGGCCAGATAGCACTTTGATTTGGGCTGGTATCCCCACCCTCTTTGGAGTGGGGATGCCAGATAAATATTGAATGTCCCTCAGTGCCTTCCTACTGTTCCCCTGTGCTCTGAAATGACAGACAGGTTCTCCAAGCCGCAGAGGAAGACCTGCAGTGCAGCTCAGCTTAATGTGATGCAAAGGCGCACGGGCTAGGCCGCTGGATGTCCCAGTAGTCCATGAAGGTTCATACAGCACCAGCGGGGTCATGTTCATCCAAGCTTTGCTTTGCAGTGTGGTGATTCCCAACCCTGCTACGTTAACTACAGTTAACTGCTATGAAGAGAGAACCTGATTACCTGAGTGGCACGCTATGTACTTGCTGTATGCATTTGCATCAACAGGAAATAGTGTCATAACTTGCAGATGTCACTCTGCCCACAGCCCTAGCAGATAGAGGCGAGTACTGAAAGCCATGGGAAAGTAGCTTCTTGCTGAGGTAGCTGCTGGTATCCAATGCTATCCCTTCAGCAGCTGGCTTCCAGCTCAGGGCTGTGTCTGCTCTCAGGAACAGCATGCCACTTGGAATGGAAAACTGATTTTTGCAATACGGGCTTAACAAAGACATGGGGCTCCATGCCTGCAAGCTGGTTTTGCTTTCAGTAGGATCAAGAGGTCTTGTATCCGCCAGCCTCTGATAGATAGAAGCCATGGAAACAATAACACAACCGTAGAGTGCGGTAGGGAAGTCAAAGACAGTGCCGTGGTATGGCAGAGGCTGGGGACAACATAACAGAGAAAAAAAGAGAAACAGATGATGGCTCAGACTTAGATTTGGTCAGGTGAAAATATCCACCAGAATTTGGTTTGGGGTGTAGCAAGATCTGATTCTCCCCTCACTTTACACAAGCAGAATTTAGAGCGCCGCTGCTGTGTGGTACTAATGCCACCATCACCATCAAGAAGCTGCCTGCCTGGCACGTTCTGGCCACTATAGGCCAAGGTGGGCTCCAGAGGGAGGGCATCTGAAGCAGAGTCGGTCCATAATTCTTTTTCAATGGACAACCCAGTTTTCACTAAAGGATTTCCCCCCCAAAAAGTCTCTGTTCTTCATGGAATATTTTGATCATTGTTTGAAAAACACAACCCCCATTTTCAGCTGAAAACTGAACTAGTTTCATCTTACAGTGCTGCTGTAGCACATCCTAGCAGCTACAGTTTAGATGTCTCATGCTCCTGTTCTCCTCCACGGGCTGTGACTCAGCCTGCTACACTGCATCTCCTATGACACTCACTGTTAAAAAAACAGGCCTCATTTCTGTCTGTTGAGCTTCAGCTTTTAACTGCTGGGACTCATTATGCTGTGTTAAAGACCCAGTTAAAATCAGAATCTGCTTCATACCCCAGTGCAGTAAATGGAGCAAGTGTCTTCATTCCTATATGCTCCTCCACCTACTTCTTTTATGTCCCAGCCCTACCACCCAGCTACAAGCTGTTCACATTGGGAGTGACAACAGAAGAAGAGATATAGGAAGAGGCATAGGAGAGGAGTTGGTACAGCTCCTGTCCACCTTATCCTGGGACATCGTTATTTCCCCAGCCTTGGACTGGCTGCCTCATTCAAAATCACCTCTGGGTCAAGGAGGACCCAGCTGCCAGCATCTCAGGTGCAGCTGCAACTGCCAAGCTTGCGCTCCCCTCACGTGCAGCCGACGCGCCAGCTGACTATACGCAGATGTGCGATAGCCTGAGGACAACTTATCAGCGGCTCGTGCAGTGTGTTGAGCTCCACGTGCTTTGGGGTTACTCCCCCCCCACCCAACATACACCCAGTGACCTCCAGCGTGTGGCAGCAGAAATGTCCTATCAACAGAAGGGCAGTGTCCAATTTGTCCCTGCTGCGGGTCCTCTTAAGAACGGGGGCTTTGTATGCCTACGAGTCCTGCCCACCAAGTCCTTTGTTTCACTGTCTCCTGTGTCCGTCCTAGGAAACTAATGCTGACTGTACAGTTGCTCAGTAATTCCACAGCCTCACTGGCCTCCTGATCTTGTCTTCCTGACTTCAGTTCACGTGCGTCTTATCTCACAGTTGTTGACATTGAACCTCTGGTGCCCAGGGTCAGGGCACATCCCACCTGATGCTTAGAAAGGAGAAGCAATTCCTTTCCCTGGGCAATCACAGGTAGCTTAACTTAGAGTTTATTTGATCTGGCTTTAAAACAAACCTGTGTCTGCTCAGTCCTTCTCTTGCCTTAAAAGGATCATGGAAAATTAGAGTCGGACAGGAATTCAGGAGGTCACATCTAGTCCAAACCCCTGCTCAAAGGAGGACCAGCCCCAACTACATCATTCCAGCCTTGTATGAAATTCAACCTTGTATGAAATCCAGCCCCTTCTGCATCTGATATGGAAGGACGCTACTTTTACAAACTAGGAATTACCTGAGGAGCATGATGCTGACTGGAGCTAGTCAGTATTTCTTGAAAATCCAGCAACTGACTGGAGGGTTGCTTGGCTATGTAAGGATTTCGTTTTTTGTTCTGAGGTTTGTCTGTTTTTTAGAACATGAAAAAATGTCAAGGAAAA